AATGTACTTGTACAATGCCTGAACTGGTTTCTGTATTCGTCAGGGCCGGCGGCGTTGCTTTGTGGGTAATATGAAAAATCGCGGAACCCTCTATAGAGTGGACGTTATCGGTTTATTCACCTGCTGCTACTTTTATAAACAATGAGTCCATCTCAGTACAAGCGAGAAACCATCTTTACACTCACGTAATCTACCTCGTGAATTGATTACCATTCAAGCCTTACAGCCAGCTAGTGACCACTACACTTAACGGCCATGAGCTATTGATGTCACACACCTGCATCATACGTGTGAGGCACATATACGGGCACGCACGCATGCACACGCACACACGCTCGTGCGCACGCATATGCAACACGAACCCTACATTACATACACATCAGGAGTAGATAAAGGGAATTCCCTTTATCTACTCCTGATACACATGCTTATATTACGTACACCGCAGCGCTAGCCAGCCAACTATCACTATCAGTGTGTTGTGTAGGGCCAGCCAGGGCCAGCCAGAAGCAGCCACGCACCATCGAGCGTATATATCTACGGACGGGGAACATAGACGTGGGACTGGGGGCACGCGAGGTGACAACTACGCACAAGGCCATTCGGCATACCCTTACCCAGTGCTTGAAACGAACATATTACTACTATTCCGGGTAAAGCAGGCTCGCCACCGGAATAGTGAAAGGAACCATGAAATTTTCCAGGGGGAAAATCTCTAGTGGAAAAAAACTGGTGTTTTTATCGCCTATTCACTCAGTGTTTTCCTGTTACGCTGCCTAATCTAGGTCACACACATGAATCTGTGGCTATAAATAGCTGTTGCTGTAGTAGTACCTAGTTAATAATTTTAACCACAAAATCTCACACGTAAAAAACCCATAGGTTTTGTCTATTTTCATTGCCATATATATCTCAAATCTCCATTGACAAACAATTCAATTTCTCCCCCTCCTTTTAAACCCCTACCCCACCCCACCACCACCCACAACCCACCTCACCACATCCCAACCCCATTCCACCCTGTAATACAGAGAAATGAGTGTGATAAGTAATTATGAAAACACGGCGACACCAAGGATAAGGGTAGTTCTATATATAAGTAATAGTGGAAATTAGACAATAGAGAGGGGATCGAAATAGCTTGAGGTCGGGTCTTTGTTTAAACGCTGGGCACTGGCCGGAACCAGTCCCATAACGCGAAAGCCAGTTAGCGAGCGGGGTAAGGCCGATTGGCCATGAGAAAGACAATAGACCGCACAGACGTATAAAACCCGCACGCACGAAATGTGCGGGGTTCTCTGGCTCTCTGTTTCATCGCCTATATCATACTCCGTGAGTCGTCTCTGCGACCGCATATCAACCGTTGAAATCGTAAGTTACGTTCCAGGCACCGCGCAACCATATGCACGCGACACTACCCCTTTGTGGGATTATACATTAGTTAAGATATGTTTCATTAAATACTTACTTTGTTCTAATACGTACATATCAGTTCTATTGTTGTTTATGTGTTGTACATGACAGACGTTGTCATGACAACATGATGGCAGCATGGTAAACATTAACACCTGGCATGATATCATGATGTCAGCATTGTAGATATCCACACATTGCATGACAACATGTCAGCATTGTAGATATCCACACAATGATAGAGGATGTACCTGTATGTACTTCCAGTTCTCCAATCTCTCCAGAATCTCTTTCATCGGCTTGGAGTTTGATTTCTTTCTCATGGCGCAGATGCCCACTGTTACGACCTTGGGCAACGTCTCATTGATCGTCTCATCGCAGTCACCTTCGTCGTCCTGAGAGCACCGACAAAGCAATTATATTATTATTTATTATTTTCTATTACATTTTAATTGCCTCAGCCTAGTGATCTACCTCACATGCCTGCAGACACAGACGTACGCACACATGCATGCACGCACGCACGCACGCACGCACACACACGCACACGCACACGCACACGCACACGCACACGCACACGCACAAGCACAGGCTGATAAAATTGTGATGCCTTACAAACACTAGCACACGTTTACAGTTCATATCTCCCCACACGACATCAGCTATTTTAGTGGTAGGAATTACATCATTCACCTGACACTAATTATCCCTCTGACTGAGAAAAATTGTTAAAGCCGAGAAAAGTATTAGGTAGAGGCAAGGCAGTGGAATGCTAACACCCCGTCCTTCTTTAAAAATAAGCTGCTAATGATCCACAAACTGGTCAGTGCTGATTACACTTAGAGCAGTGCTGACCACTTCACATCATGAGGCCAGTGGCTTGGGCATATATACCAACAAGCCTTTCACACAGTGGCCTGTAGCTACACTGTCATTATCAAACGTGTGCGTAATATAGAGGGTTCCGCGATTTGGTTTAAAAATAGCAATATTACCTACAATCCCGTGCCGCCGGCCATACCGGTTACAAATAGAGCGAACACGCGTCGCGTGTAATGTGCCACTCTGCACAATCGACCGATTTTACATTGGCTATAGTGTTATTATTGCAATAGATATTAGAAGTAAGAGGATTCCGATTTACCAGACAGGTTTATCAGCGTGGGTTTTAGGTGCTGCAGTTTAATGAGGCTGCCACACAGTCGGCCGATTCGTAGATTGAGCAGATCGGAAGATTGCACGCAACACATATATGTTCATAGACTTGAGTTTGTTTACATCGTGAGAGTTCAGAAATTTCACCGATTTTACCGCATCTACTCTAGCTATCAAACGCAGCTTTTTATAATAGCTAGTGTATGCACGTTTGTCGACTGTCTGTAGTGTACGTAGTATGGATAAGTACTTTGATTCACTAGACAACGTAGCCAAAGCACGCTATCTCGAGAAAATTGCGTGCATTGGGAATCGACACCCGTACGAGAATGGAGCGAGGACCACAACTTGTGCCCATCACGTACTTATTTGGATCTCGTGAATTGACTACCTAACATTCTAGCCGAGATCATTTTATACTCTCACGGACTTTCAGAACCACAAAAGCCTGGATGCCCACGATCGACTGTTCTGCGGTTGGGTGTATCAGTCTACACCTATCATGTGAACAGTGAGAGTCCCATCTAGGTTATCCGAGCACGTGTTATGCACTACCAGTCTCTGATTATACCATCTCTCTATCCGTGCATTGGTCACGATGAGAGAATATGGGACAGGCATCATGTCAGCACACTGTAATTGTAAAGCCGGGACTTGGTGAATTCTGTTCACATGTTGCCTCGGTGCTATTTTACGTAGAGCATAGGCCTACGTGCAAGAGCAATCACCACCCCCACTCAAACAGCTGCCTACTGGATGCCGGCGATATATATGTATATTAGCGGCGTGCGCCGTGCGTGCGGTGTACCTGTGTGTTGCAGAAGAGCATTTGACCGGCATTTACAGGTAATTATCGGCAATACTAGGCGAAAGAGAGTAGAGAAACATTAAGACATTGGTAGTAAATACATTTCGTGTTTATTCAGCATTGCTTTTTTATTGAAAATGCTCCAAGCGTCGGTGGTCTGCCTGGTCTCTCGTCGCTTTGGTTTGTGTTGTGATTACGCTAGGCAGCCTAAAAAAGCTGTGTGGCTCTCTCTGGTACCAATTACTGCAGTTGAAAACACCGCAGAAGAGCGTCGTTGTGATGGATTTGCTTAATAGGCGAATAAAATTAGCAGAGGTGCGTTGC